GGTGAACAACAAATAGGAACTCATTTCAGCTCAGCAATGAATCTGTACTGTATGTATTTGTGGCTTAATCTGTGTTTCTGTCTTTACTGCAGCATGAGCAGATGTCAGTTCAGATGTTCGATGACATTGTGAAGCGTCTGAAGGCTGAGAATGAAGACGTGTTGAAAGAACATGGACTGGATGATGAAGACGTGATCTTCATTAAAGAGTTAATCGAAGGGGCAAAAACCTCAGAGGTACAAACTGATACTCCAGCTGTTTATGGTGTGTTAATAAAGTCGACAGTTCAGTATAATGAAGTCTGAATCGCTCTTCTGTTCAGTGGACATACGAGGGCAGAGATGAAGACAAATCCTTCCTGTATGAGATCGTGGCAAATAAACAGAACAACATTGATGTGGACAGATGGGACTATTTTGCACGGTAAGAATCTGATTAGTATAAGTTAAGAGTTCCTGTCTTTAATCATTTATATGTGCTGATTTTTTATTTTTTGTTGTTACTGCGTAGAGACTGTCATCACCTCGGCATCCGAAACAGTTTTGATCATCAGCGTCTGCTGAAGTTTGCTCGAGTCTGTGAAGTGAACGAGAGAAATCACATCTGCTTCAGAGACAAGGTGCCTGATTCAATTATTTATTAAAACACATGTAGCACTTCCAAAGTGTGCTGATAAAATTCAATATTTACCTACACATCTTTAACCTGGGCCCATCTGTTCAAAAATGTAATCTGCACTGTAATCAGAGAAATGCCGTAGGTATTGTTATCTGCCCTGACCAGCAGCCAGCTGAGTAATGAAACACTGCTACATTTAAAAGCATCTAATACAATTCTTAGTGGACTTCTATACTTACATTGGCCTCTAGATTTAGCATGTATAACAGGGATTTGTGAATTATCCGTATCTCTTAGAAACTGATGAGTCATTATCATATATGAACAGGAATATATGATAAATACCAATAACTAAACATCTGTCTTGCTTTAAAATCTTGACTCCCATTCACTGCCATTATAAAGCTTGGAAGAGCCAGGACATTTTTTAATATAATTCTGACTGTAAGAAGAATGTCATATAGGATGGCTTGAGGGTAAGTAAATCATGGGGTAATTTTCAGTTTTGGGTGAACTATCCCTTTAAGTAAATAAAGTAAATAATTAAGATAAAAAGATTTATGCACCAAAATAAGATAATATATGAGACGAGACAGCTTTGTTGATTTGCACCAAGTATTTCACATATATAATTCTGAACCAAGACATAGATAAATTTTAACTCTACTCAAATGAACAAAATGACTTATGAAAACAAACTATTTATTATTTATTTATTTACTTGTTTTTTTTTTATGAGTTTCAAAGAAGTCAGTAAAATGATCTATTATCCAAAGTATAGCAACGATTATAAATCTGTCTGATTTCATAAAAAAAATAAATAAATAAAATCTTGGGCAAATACAGACAAAAGGATTCAAATTGTTCATAAATGATATATCACTAATTCATACAATCAGCAATAGGAGAACTAAAGAACAAAACAAAAACACTGAAAATGAACATGAGTGAACTATCACTAAGAGACAAACAGACAAACAATAACTGCAATATTGTTACAGTTTGATGCTTCATAGTTTGTATTATTAACAGGAGGCTGATAATGTTTATGACATGTTTCGCACCCGATACACTCTCCATCGCCAGGCCTATCAGCACAAGATCTGCAACATCATCGAAGACATGTGAGTTTCTCTGTCATTAAGAAGATGTGGATATAAAACAAATTGATACCAAACAGCAGTGAAGATGGCATGGTTGTATATCTTCATTGTTATTGCTCTGTGGAATACTTGTTTCTGATTGGTCAGTCGTGACATTCCCAGGTATGCTATGTAAGGGAAAATGTACATCCAGCCGGTTGTCACCGCAGAATAAACCCCGACAGGGTGATCAGGACCCCGACGCGAAACATTATCCCTTGCTTATATACAGTAGTTAGTAAAGTGATTAAATTACTGAAGTAATTGCTGTTGCTAGCAGGTGTGGTTACTCAACTGCAGCATCCTGTATTAGGAGGCAGAAAATGTGATCTTAATGTGAGTTAAACCCTTCAACTTCAGTCTGATTGCAGTTTGCTTTGTTTCTGGAAATAACTCTCACTGTAAAAACCCTTTTAGAGTTCAACATCAGGCATTATTAGTCGAATTGTTTCTTTTATTCACACCTGCTTGAAATATTGATTTATTGATGTGTTGGTATATTGATGTATTTTGTTGTATATTAGGTTCACAAAAGCCCTCATAAAAGCTGATCGTGACCTTCATAAAGACAAACCAGAGGATATGTTCACAATTTCTGAAGCCATACACAATGCTGAGGAATACACCAAGCTCACAGGTTAGGTGAAAGAAAGAAAGTTGAAACTGAAAGATATTTTTTAATTTTTATTTATAAATATAGTTCCTATCTAATTGAGATAGGACTAACTGCAGAACCATACGTCATGACAGTCTGAGGACAATTTATCTATTTCCTCAACATGCTTTTTCCAGGTATATCTCGCATCTAACCAAATTCCTAGATACTTAAAAACCTTTACTTGTTCTAAAGGTTTTCCATACAATAGTAGTTCAATATCTTTAGAAACTTCTTTTTTCCTACTGACCAACATATAACATGATTTATTTGTTGACATTTTAAAACTCCATTCTATACTCCATTTTTCCACCTTTTTAATAGCTGTTTGCATACTTGAAATCACTTGGGGTACATTTCGACCTCTCTTCCAAATAGCACCATCATCAGCATATAACGCACATCCCACACCATATCCTAAATTGTCAAAAATATCATTAATCATAATGTTAAAAAGAATTGGACTTATTACACTCCCTTGTGGAATACCATTTTCTGCCTTAAAAACTGATGACTGACACGCTCACAAGACATACTACTATAGACAATTGTCAGTTTTTTTTTTAAATTATAGTTTATTATCCATTTGTTTTTTTGTGTCATAAATGATTAACAATATAAATTGAACAAATCTTAAAACAAAAAAATTAAAACAAGGCTTGAGCGTTTGAACATTTGATTTAATTGAAAAGGCATTTTTTTTAATACTCCATTTCACAACTAACCACGTTTTTTCATAGAACAAAAAAACAAAAATAAAATGTCTTTTTCCCTCTTAAATAGCAAAAGCATCACACACTAGCTATACCTGCTCCAAATAAATACAATTAATTAAAAATACAAAATCAAACTAAAGTAAATAAATAAATAGAAGTTATGCAGGCACACATTTAACAATAATTCTCAAAAATAACATTAAAACTAAAATAAATCAAAACTCCATAAACATGGAGTTAATCCTGAGGTGCCTTTTGTCCAGACACTCGCAAAGAAAAACTTCCATATCTTCCTTGAATTGGAAACGAAACATGAAAGGCTCTTTGGCCAGTTGTCGGTCATCATTCATTTCCGCCTGATTAAATTGAAGAAGGGCCTTTTCCTGGTCTTCCTTGTTTAATTTCGGATACCACGGCTCTTCCACAAAACCTCTGAAGGCATGGCAGTTGGGGTCCCAGTTGTCGTCGCCGGCATGGTCGCGACCCTTGGGACAGTAAATTTTGCACTAGTGGTTGACAGCATTTTACGCTGCTTTGATTTACAAATTTCTAAATGAGAATGAAAAACCTCTCTCCTTAGAATTGTGGCTGTACAGTAGAGACAGTGGAAATGTTGGGTTGGTCTGCAGCCCAGTCCACATCTGTGAAATCTGAAATCTGAAATATAGGGGGAGAAAATAGTAAACACTCCAGGGTGCTTCAGAGTGTAACTCCAACCCTACTCAAAACTTATCCCTGTTGTGAATTAAAATGTTTAGTGGGATGTGTTAAAAGATATGAAATATTATTATAAAATACAAATACACAAATATATAACTGTTTTGTGTTTTATTAGAGTGTTTGTGTGTATTGCTCATCTAAACTTTTGACTTTAATGACCAATTTTGACCAAATCATGCAGAAAACCAGCTAATTCCAAAGGGACTACTATTGCATAATATTAGACGTAATATAATAAGACGTTCATACCTCCATGCACAACAGCCTTTTTGAAGTGAATTTTGATGTGAGTATTCAATTTGTCCAGTCTTGTCGGTTTAAAAATACTGCTAGCACAAAAAGGGCAGTGAAAATTTCTGCAGCATGTTGTGCATTGCTCCAAAGGTCGTACTACTGAACCTCTCTGAATCGTTATATGGTTCTATATACGAAATCAAATACATTTAAAGCATTTCTCAAAAGTCAGAAAATGTAACAAATGCAGTAAAATACAACGTCAATAACAAATGAAAATCCCAAATCATGAATATGTAACCTAACAAAGTGATACAATCCAATTGCAAAATAATTACGTGCTCAAGTGCCTTCGTCACAATGCCCACTTGCAAAATACTTAGAGCCATTTTGTATAAGCGTTAATCCAAAAACAATAGATTAAATACACAAAGGCAATTATTATTATAATTTTTTTTTTACCGTTTTCTCTTCTTCCGCCATGATGATTCTGTTTTCATTAACTTTTCACTGAACTCTCGTAATTACGCCGTGATTAACTTATTACCGTGTCTTCAGCCATTATTAGTTTACATGAACTCCACCCACTTCCGATCTGATACTGCTACTCCGCCCACTTCCGGCCTCAGATTGTTAGTCTGGCGCTGTTGTCCTCAGACTGTCATGACGTATGGTTCTGCGGTTCTGCAGTTGGTTGTTATTGGGATCTAATTACTTATCTTGAATAAGCATGTCACTAGTTTTGTGTTTAGTGCTGTACATATCATCTTTTTAATATGTTCTTGGATTTATTGTTTCCTTATTACATGAGTAGACTTTATCCAAATGGTTACCAGGGGGAAAAAAAAAAGTTTAATTAGAATACACATCTCTCTCCTCCATCAGATGAAATCTTTGGGCAGATCTTGTCCTCCACTTCTGATAACCTGAAGGAATCTCGAGACATCTTGAACAAGATTATCAACAGAGAACTGCCAAAGTTTGTGGGAGAAGCTCGATTAATGGAAGAAAACAAATCAAAGGTAGGCCAGTCCTGGATACAAATGGTTTTACTGTTTTACTTATGCTATATTGTTCATATATAATCATCTGACTTTTTGAGGGGTCTATAAGAACATGATCTGTACTCATCACATTTTTTTATTTTTTATTTTTTTGTATCGACTTGGCAGATGAGTCCTGACCAAAGAAGCACCAAAACAGTAAGTTCTTATAGTAATGAATGGTATGGAAAGTATAGAACTCTTTGATTTTAATCATTATTTATATAATATCGGAATAATACGATTCAGCACATTCATGGCATCCAGCAATGCTGGATCAAAGCAGTCGCATGAAAAACCCTCCTTGGCTAAGATTTACTGCTACCTGTTCCTCACACTACTTATTTTGTGAACGCTTTCTGTATTTGAGTCACAATTAATATCTGACTAACCCCTAACTCTCTCAAATCAGAAAATGCAGGAAAAGCTGACAGAAACATGGAAGGAGGCAGTAAAGAAGTACAAACCTACTGACTCTGCTGTTTCTCTGAAGGCTGATGATTTCTCAGTTTATGTAAGTTATGTTGCAAACACTTCACACCTGCCCCAATATTCTCACAAATTAACTCTTTCTTTCATCTCTTTTTTTATAGGTGGTTGATCTGGGTCACGGCACGAAGGGCAAAAAACCCTTTGACAACATTTATTTCTACAGCAAATGGAACAACAAAGAAGCCTCATGTATTGAGAAGTATCAGGTGCTTTTACACCAAATTATTATTGTTTTGTTACAATAATTACTATTTTTATTTTTACAATTTTAAATGATTCTGGTTTAATATACTTTAAAATTTTATAAATTAGAATTACAAATGCAAACATATTATTAGCACAACATATTGTTTTGCTAACTTCTGCTAGTCAGTCAAACAGTTTTTAATTCTTTTTTATTTTTTCCTGTTTTCTCCTTTGCTTGCAGCTGTCTAGTTTCCTGCCAGAGACCTTCACTGAAGAGCTTGTTAGGGTGTACTGTGACAAACCTAATGAGAACAGGGTGGAGGAGGCTGATAAATGCTTTAAGGAGTGGCGCAAATCAAACTTTGGACTCTAATTCTATATAATGCCCATCTAAATCTCTGTAAGCCCAACTCTGGAGCATTTGAAAGCAAAGTCCTTATTTTGTGCTCCTGTACTTAGTGAGCTGATATCAATATAGTTGTACTTCTTTTAGGTGATATTGGGCAGCCAGACCAAAATCAAGCATTCATCAGTGCCTTTTTTTATAAAGTGTGGATTTAAAAATGTAGCTCACTTCTTTAAGCACAAATGATTTTCAGAATGATCACTATTCTTTTTCATGTTATGAAAGCTCCAAAATGACAAAAAAGCACCAAAAAGAACTTAAAAATTAGCCAAAATGTGTGCTGTATTCCAAGACTTCTGTTAAAATTTGAACCAGTTGTTCATTCATTAGTTATTCATTAAAAAAAAAATAACTCAAAGTATGATGGTGTACTATTGGCCATAACACTTTGAATTTAATTCTTGACAGCCATATTCAACATCAAGCAGATAAGACATTCTGCTAAAGATCACCAGCATCAACTTAATCTGTAATCCAAAAAAAAAAAAATATTATTTGATGACTAATGAATGGTTTACTGTGTGGCCCAAACATTTTTACTTGGATGCTTTTTAATCAAATATTAAGTTATACACTGAATTTGCAATAATTAGTTTATTCACTTAGCATAAATAGAATCAGAAAATGTTTTAGTTCTTTCTTCACAAATACAGTAGGACATTTGTGTATAAAGACAGATTTATATTATTGCTTAAGCAGCTCTATTTGCTTGTTGCTTGTGTTTATAATTCATACAGTGTGGTGTTGGATGATGGGTATATAGGCCTATATATATATATATATTACAGTATATTATACATTAATAGGTTTGTTTGGGGAATGATAAATTAATTAATCATTTTACATTATATTATTTCTTTTACTATGTGTGCAGAGATTTGATTAGTATTGTTGTGAGTAATTTTGGGGGTTAGTTTTAGGGATGAGGTTTATCTGAAATTATTTGATTTCATTAATATTTTACCTTTTCCAGTGATGCAGGAGTTCAGTTATATCTCTTTACTCTGATTACAACATTAGTGGTATATGGAGAAAAAAAATTGCTTGTCCTTTTATTTAGAAACTGTAGTGAATCAGCAGCAGTTGTGAAGCAATTATTTATTATCCCTTATCTAATCAATGTAATGGTACTGCTTTTATTTTGTGTCTGTGTTTTTCATACATTAATGAGAGTCTCTCAGGCCTTTAAAAAGCCAGTTGGCCACAGACTTTGGAACGAGGGAATGAAGTAATAAACATGCAGGTGCTGGAATTGAAATGTGTTTTCATGTGTCTTGAGTATCAAGCAATTGTTTCAGATCTAATGCTATTCCATGCATTCTGACTTATTTACACTGTTAAAGAGGTAGATTATCATGCTAAACACTCCTATAATATATATATATATATATATATATATGTATATATATATATAGTTATTGAACAATATCAATTTACAAACTCAAGTGGGGGACAATAATATACATTTGAAAATATACACACATTGCACATAAATGTCCGTGTGTGTGTTTGTGTGTATATGTATTAGGGCTGGGCAAGTTAACGTGTTATCATTGCGTTAACGCATTAATTGATTAACGCCGACAATACAAACCATGGGTCACAGGAGGGGTAGGATGTTGATCAGTACTGGCTTGGGATGGATGTCATCACGCGTCTCAACCAATGAGAGCATTTGGGGTGAACCTAAGACTGCAGCAGCGCTCACATGAAGAGCTCTCGACTTCATAAATGGGAAATAAGAAGTTTCCGATAGCACGTGAAGACAGCACAGAAGCGCTCAGAACAGTGGAGTGTCATGCGTCCCAACCAATGAGAGCATTTGGGGTGGGCCTAAGACTGCAGCAGCACTCACATGAAGCGCTCACGACTTCATAAGTGGGAAATAGGAATAGTGCGTGAAGACAGCAGAGAAGCGCTCTCGCTCAGCACAGTGGAGTGCATCGTTTCGTTAACTTTGTCGTTTATTATTTTGAGTCGTTTGGGACGCGGTAACACACACATCCCTCTCACAATATATTGCTTTACAGACCTATCACCAGAGGTGATAGCCACTGAGCACGAGTTACATTTACTTGAGTACATTTTTTTGGGTAACTAATACTTTTGGAGTATATTTAAAGATGGGTACACAGTAAAAAACGCAGTGTCAATTTAACACTTTAAAGTGTCGATTTTAACACTACTAAAGATCATATATAAGAGTCTTTAGACAGATGTATAAATTCCAATGTTTATTTAACAAATGGGCAAAGTGACAACTTTAAAGCATATACCAGATGTGTATTAATTAGTCAGTGACATTCATTAAGTGTTGCACAGAAACATAAAATAGTTAATAAAACACAAAATCATCAAATTTACCTAGACATGAACAAATATGACTTGACATTTAGATGTGTAGATAATGTAGATACACGTGTAGATTTGACAGTTGTGTAGCATCCATGAATGATGTTCCTCTTTGTCCCATCAGTGAGCAGGTATGGCTGTGTGGTCTCTTCTATGCAATCAAGCTGTTCTTGTTGGTGCCTGCAGATCAAAGACAAAAATAACACTCAAAGTCAGCTCTCCAACTGATTTGATTTACATTAGTCTTTCATATACAACCCATCTGGCAATATTTTGAGGCAGACAATAGGTAGTGACAGAAATGTCCAAATGTACCTTTTTGAAGATGTTTTTCAGCTTGATAGGACGACATGTTTCCAGGTCCCTTGCAGCCTTGTGGTGATGGTGGAATCAAATGAAGTAGGAGACCAATTGATGCAATATCGCTGTCCCATTCTAAATAACAGATATGACAACTTTAGCAAAAAAATGCATGAACACAGAATATAGATAAAGCATTAATATAGATAATCTTATTCTGAAATATAGTCTAACCTTAGACCGGTTTCATCCTCCTTTACAGCTGATTTCGAGGTCAATTGGTTCCTCGAATGTCTTGGGAGAAGCCAGGAACTTGGCTTCTTGAAAATAAAAAAAACTCAGAGTTTGCAATCTTATGAGAGGAGCTTCCTTCACTTGACACTGCAGAAGTCTGTGCCAATTCTATTGAAAAAGGATAAAAAAAACACTTATTTGAGTAATTTTATAATTAGAAAATTCCAGGTGTGAACATAAGCAGATATTGTGTGGCTGCCCAGTTAAACTTTAATTTTTCATATTCATTTGTGTGTTTTAAATTTGTACTGCACATATAATAACATGATATAAATGACACAGACTTACAATTCTGGCTTCATCTTCAGCATTCTGCTCCTTTCTTGAAGGGCTTCCATCATTCACACTCAGTGTCATCAGACTCCCAGTTTGCAATCTTATGAGAGGAGCTTCATTCACTTGACACTGCAGAAGTCTGGGCCAATTCTGTTTAAAAAGGACAAAAAAAAAACACGCTTCTTTCAGTAATTTAATTTACATTAGGACTGTAAATATGGTAAAATAATTGTGATTACCCCTAATTTTGAGTATGCTGAAAGCTGTCTATAATAAGGGTGTCAAATCGTAAACTTATTTTTATTTACATACTTCATTCTAGGGTCAATAAAATGACTGTTAAAGTTAATAGACATAAAACCTTGTGCAATATTCACATGGAGGCCTGAAACAATTTAAGTATTTATTAAATCTGATTATTAAATACATTTATATAATTTTAATGAGTAACATGAGTAATAAGGCATCTTAAAATGAGCAGTGTACTACCTTAGAATAAATTAACACGTGTTAATAATGTATCTTACTATTAATTTATTATGTATAATGTGAAAAGAAAATACAGATAGATTCAGACATATTTCTCCATTAAAACTTAACTTTGTATATCTAGAAATATTTAGGACATTTAACCCAAAATAGCATGCCATATGAATTGATAAAGACTGGTTTCAAGCTAAAGTACCTGCATGCTCTGCCAGTGGGCACTGAAGGAAATTGAAAGACTGACGGATTTACAGTTTAACGTACCTTTAACTCACTTTCACGATGCTTGCATAAACGTAATTGTCATAAGAAAAACTTGATGGTAAGTTAGTGCGTTTGTGTCTTGACGCAGATATGATGACATGACAGACATGATATTCAGCACTGAGAACAAGCAACATACAGATTACGCAGTTCACACTTAAATTTCTAAATCTCTGAATCTGTTTCGATGAACAAACAAACTCTTGGATGGCCTGAGGGTGAGTAAACTTTCAGCAAATTTTAATTTTTGGGTGAGCAACTCCTTTTAAACCAGCTCTAATTATTGACTCATTATTAAGCTTGATTATTGAGAGAATATATCATGGACAAGGATTTGTAGATATTTTGTTATGGTGCAAATTGAGCTAACTAGAAAAAGAAGACATCTTTCCCTGAGATCCAACCCAGTCACCCCAAGTACAGTGATCTATTTGGTGTGTGATTAATTGTGCCAAGTGAACTCAAGCCCTAGTTTTCTGTTATGCAAACTGCCAACAAATGTTTAAAGACCCCTGTGGGAGCCTTTATCCTGGGCATAGGTTGCCCGCATAACCTGATCTGCAACAAAAGCTTCCAAAACACAGAAGCAAGGACTTTCTCACCTTTAAAAGGATTTGTGTAAGGTGTTCCACTTTTTTTTACCTCTTTCCTAACTTGTGATCAAATACAGCATTGCTAAATTGTGGATTTGGTCCTAGAAAGACTACTGTTGAAAGAGAATTACAACAAATCATTAGTCCACAGACAAATTGAAATATAAATTTTCTAAATAAAAATAGAATTTTGAACCTTAAACCGCATAAACACATTTCATTACACCAAATAATGTTCTTTTTAGCAGCATCATATGACCCCTTTAACACTAAACCTGACAAACACGCGCAGTTAGTAATTTCTAAATGTGTTCACCACCAATCATATTTTGAGTAAAATTATCAACAAAAATGTTTTTCCCATGTACTTTTATAAAGAGAAAAGCAATCCAACTTACCGTCTCGGTCGATTGAAGAAAAAATGGCGTCGTCACTTCCCGAGGCAGCAGTCAGCAGTCCAGACAATTCGGCGGGGTTTTTTATTCTGCACTTTTAGTGTAAAAGTGAAATTACACCATATAACAACACTGAACACGAGTACTGTTTAAGACTCTTTGGGAATTAATAACTTTTAACACTGCAAATGTTACACTGCTGATTTTACTGTGTACATATTCACTCTAAATGCATTACTAAAATGTTCGCTTGTGTTTGCAAACTGTGGAAACATAAATTATTTAAGACATATATTTGACTGATGATATTAAATCTTGTGCCTTTCCAGAGGCTGAGAAACAACTGTTATGGGAGTTTATCAAGGATGAATTGCAGGACATCCTGAAGAAATACTCCTTAGACTTCTCAAAAGAACAAATGAAGGTAAACAAACTACTCATGTAACAATTCTGCCTCTTCACTTCCATGAAGAAACACACGAGTTTAGCAGCACTGATGATAAGCTATGTAGTAAATGTAGATTGTAATTCTTTACCATCTAGCTGAAATGTAAAGTCTTGTTTCTCATGAATGCATGATGAATGTACTATTCACTTTTGTTTGTGAACAAAAAAAAACATAATTAATGGAGAAAATGCTGAAATGTGTGCTTTACTTGTTTATTTTTGCTCCACTGACAAAACAATCTCTTCCAAACAAAACTCAACGAACAATCTAATACCTGAATGAACCAATAAATCACTGCTTCAAACGAACCAGTTGAGTGATTGATTCAGTGATTCACTCATAAAGGCAGTCATGTCATGTTGGTCATGGTCGCCACTTAGTAATGAAACCATGCAGCAAACAATGATTTATCTTGAATACTGTTGTCTAAAGTTGAAATGAATAGATTTATTCCCATCAGTATGCATTCCTCCTATGAAATGCTGTGTGAATGAGATCTATTTAATCCTCTAAAGGGATTTTATGGGTCACAAAATTACTTTGATCAACGACATGGATTTAAACATGACGAGTCGTGAATTACATTGCATATTGTTTTGTATTTTGTAGATCTTCAACGACCCCATCCATGGTCACATTGAGCTGCACCCCCTGCTGGTGAAGATCACAGATACTCCTCAGTTTCAGAGACTGAGATGCATCAAATAGCTGGGAGGAACATATCTGGTGTATCCGGGTGCTTCCCACAATCGCTTTGAACACTCACTTGGGTGAGATATTATTATATTCAGAGCTGACATTTTAGTAGGCTATTTAAGTTAATATTTGAATAATTTGACAACACATTCGTGGTTCTCTGATGTTGGCTAATGGTCATATGACTTGCAAGTTAATGCAAGTAGATTCCATGTTTTTGATCTTGAAGTAAACAGTAGTGGTGTTGTGTGTATACATATACACAGACTGGATGTCATTCATCCACTCAGTGAAAAAAAAAAAAAAAAAATTATCTGTATAACATATTTAAGCAACTTGGTAGGGTCACTGTTTACAAATTATGTTTCAGTGATTGCTTGGAATTACTGTATTTTGTGCTTGATAGATCTGTTTAATGTTTTAAAGTGAGCCACAAATGGGAAACAGGGTTTCTTGGCCCAAAACTAGAATCATGTTTTACTTACAGTAGGGGTGGGCCAAAATATCATATCACAAACTTATAACACACAATTACGATCTACGATCTGAATTGCACTATTCAAAATGTTGTACTATTGAGAATATCCAGAGTCGAACAAGCCTATGGACTTAAAACACAGTGGTGCATTCAATACTCAGTTGCCAAAATGGTCATTAAAACCTGAGTTAAGATATCCTGATGAACCTTTGATATAGTATAACGGTCACGACGAGGCGTTCCCCCATAGCGACCCCTAGAGGACGCAGTGTCTCGTTCCCTACTCAGGGAACCATGGTTACATAAGTAACCTGAGACGTTCATAAATATTCATATTTTGGTTTATGATTGCCACATGGCTGTAGAAAGCACACAACGCAGGAGGAAAAGATAAACCAAGAATGTCTTTTAATAATAAATCCACACGAAGGAACAGGCAGGAGAAACACAAATCAACATCAATACGGGAACTGAGGAGCTAGGGCAAAACACAGGGCTTAAATCATTGGCGAGGGCAATCAGGGAGAAACAGAACAGGTGTGGAGCAATTAATCAAAAATTAATGAGAAACTAAATCAGGAGACAGAAACAGAGAAATCTAAACCAAGACAGAACAAAACCGTGACGATATTAAATTAAATATGGCTGAATAGAGCATTTCTACAACTGATGAAATCTATTGCTTCTGTGTGATGCAGCACACTGTCAGCTGTCTGTATAAAGTCAGAGGTTTCTGTCATAGCAGTCAGCACAACATCAACCAAAATCATACTCAATATACTGTATCTTTTTGTCCTCTCTGTCAGAGACTGTCATCACCTCGGCATCCCAAACAGCGTCTGCTGAAGTCTGCTCGTGTGTGTGAGGTGGCCGGGAGAAAACACATCTGCTTCAGAGACAAGGTGTCTCAAGGTGTCGAAATGATTGTAGAAACAGTGCTCCAGTCAAGTGAGTTAAAATGGCAACTTACAAGATAACATCCTCCATTACAATACATAATTGAATTCAGTTTATATCAGTAACTATAAGATGAAAATGAAATCAAAGATGTATATAAATGAAAACTGAAATCCTTTACATTTCAATATTTACAATTCAAGACAACCCCGTGATGTATAATTAATGTACCCGTTAGATGAGGCTTTGATTAAAGTAAAATAAATCAAAGGTCCAGTTCATCGAATCGGCCAGACTGAAAAAAAAAAAGTTTAGTCAGTTCAACTTAGAAAATGTACTACATGTGGTAACATCTACAATAACGGGTTTTGTTGAAATCAAATAAATTATTTAAGATTACTGATTATTACTGAATTCAACCAACCTAAAATACAAGTTTTACTGAAGCATAACTGTCAGTAGATATAACCTGATTTCTCAAGCTAGGTAAAATACTTAATAAGTTTGATATAATCTTTTTTTGTTTTATATGATGAACGCCCTTTTCCATATTGATGTAAATATACTAAAAAAATAATGCATTACCCTTACTTAATTTAACTGAATACATTTTTACACACAACTTAATTTATTTTTTTCAAAATAAATCAGTTTAGTTGGATCAATAGTGTCACTCATTATTGTGCAAGATGTATAATTGTCCAACATAACTGAACATTGAACAATAACATAAACTATCAACATCGTTCCCTTTACTGAAAAACACATAAAATAACACTTAATCCCTAAATTTATTTACTCTCCTAATGCAGTCCCTTGCAGAGCTAAATTTGACTGTTTATGGCTCTACTTCCATCTGATATGAAGATGCATTTTTGGTGATCCGATCGCTAGTGGTCAGCGTTTTGTTGTTAGATCACTGAAACCATATACGCTAGTCAGTCTGTGCTCTAATTTATAACTCTGTCTCTCGCAGGTGGCTGATAATATTTATGACATGTTTCACACCAGATACACTCTGTACAGCCAGGCCTACCAGCACAAGATCGTCAACATCATCGAAGAGAAGTATGTTTACATTTATTGTACTCCAGTTTTAAAGTATTTTTGTGCTCTTCTAGTTCAGTGTTGCTTAAGTTGTTTATTGGTTCATACATTGGTTTTGATTTGTTCATTAGGATCTCAGAAGCCCTCATAGCAGCGAAAGACAAGCTCTCAAATATTCTAAGCAATGGTACAGGTGCTGAGAACCTAACAACAACAGCAAAAACAATGAAAGAGTTCATCAAACTGAGCGGTTAGTTAAAAACATGTGCAGGATTTTAAATAATTAAATGCAAGTGTTATTCTTTCTGCTTAGCAGTTTTCATTTGACCAGAGAAGACTTTTATTTGTATTTATACATTTCTATTGCAGATGTTCTCCTTCTATCAGATCATATCTTTGAGGAGATCTTATACTCCACCGATGACGAGCTGAAAGATGCCCGGATGAAGCTTGAGGATGTTGTGAGGAGACGCCTGCCGAAGTGTGTGGGAGAGACTGAATTTGCAACCATAGTTACTTTTGGGAAGCACACCCCAGTATGTTTCTGATCATTGTCTTGAAATAGTATGAACCACCAGTCAAACAGTTTTCAGACATTTGCTTGGACTTTAGTAGCTGAGATGTTTCTGTACACTTCCAAACTCATACATTATGAGGAAGAATAGATCAATCATTATAAAATACACGATACAGTAAAATTACAATTTAGATTAACATCATCTTTGATTTTTTTTTTTTGTTGTTGTTGTTGCCCTGTTTCCTCTGTTTATCAGATACAGAAATGCCTTATTGTTGTGAGTAATTCAATAGCATGAACATTTATAGTGAATAGGTCAAGATGCTGTTATAAATTAATTTAGCACTTAATTTTAGATTACAATTTTATTTTAACAAATCTGAAATTGAAGTTGTATAGACACATACAAATTAAATTATTTATTTAATTAATTGGAAACAACATTAATTGGAAATGTGCAGTTTATAAAAAAATATAAGAAATACTTAAAATATAATGGCTAAACAAACTAGTTCATTTTCAGTTTCATTTATTGTTGAGCAGCAGGAGCAGCCTGAAGCAGGACTTCAATCCCCATTTCTACAGGATAAGTGGAATGAAGCAGTGGACGAGTGGAACAAACTTCTCCCGACTGTGTTCTTGGATAAGAATGATTTCATCTTTGATGTATGTTATGTTCAAATCTCAGTTTCCACTTAGATATTGATGTCATTGTCTCAACAATTGTAAGTCACTATAATATTGTAAATCTTTGACACAGACTATTCAACTGGACTATAGTCCCAGTAAGGCTGAAACACCCATCAACAATGTCTATTTCTACAGTAAGAGAAACCCCACCGATGTCATCGATATTAAGAAATATGAGGTACTTGTAGCACTTTGCTGCTTTAGTATTTTAACATTTCACTTAGAAAAAAAAAGTACACAAATTGTACGTTTACTGGTATGTTATCTTGTTACTGGGACAAAATGGTATTCAATGATCTGGGCAAGTCAAAGCAAGTTTCCTAGATCTATAATTAGTGATCAGCATGTTTGTTTTTTACATGTATTGCAGTTATCCAGTCTGCTGCCAGAGGAGTTTACTGAATATGTTGGTCGGGTTTACTACACAAAAAAATCTGACGAGGAGGAGAGGGACTCTAAGGAGTGCTTCAGATGGTGGCGTCTCAGTGAGGACGGGGTGAGTGTTTATGGCTTATTTGTCATTCCTGCAGAACTGACACACATCACACAGAAAGCACTTTAAAGTGACATTGTTCATAAACCAAGGCTCTATTTGCTTGTCTCATATAAATCAATGTTCTCTTTCCTTCTAGATGTGCATGATTCTGGTCTTCGATCAGAAAGAGTTTAGAGGAAATTGGCGCTTGATCACAAGCGACTGTCCATCATTGGACCGCTGCAGTATAACAGAGGTCCGCTCCTGTAAGGTGCTCAGTGGTGAGTGGGATCTCTATGAGGGTCCTGGCTACACTGAACCCCGTTACCAACTGCAGAAGGTGGATTATCGAAACCCTGAGGTTTGGGGTGCCAATGGCAACACTGCTCCTGCTCTGTCTGTTAAACGTAGGACAGAGTAAATTCTATAACTCCATCCATCTGTTGCCCTCATTCATCTTTAAAGTAGGGCTGTCAATTTAAAGCATTCATTTAATGTTTAATTATAATTTCTAGACAAAAATAGTCTAATCAGTGATTTACACTGCTGTCATAATCATGTAATATCTTTTACTATTTTTACTTTAAGTAGTTTTCTCTGCAAATGTTAATATCTGCACTGAATTGGGAATAACGATTAATTACTTAGCATATATCATGCAATTAATTTGATTTAACAGATGCTTTTATCCAAAGCGACTAGAAAATGAGGAACATCAGGATTAAATGATTACACCTGATTGACAGCTATTGAAGCCACACGTGACCATATGAGATTATTTTGTGAATAAATCGTGTGGCAGATGCTGCTGACAAAGAGCAGTGCAATGAAAAATCAGTGACGAGAAAGTAAAATAATATAAGTAAATCACTCTAAAGAAACAGAGCTACTAAACTAAGTGGGGGGAGATTTTACCTTGATTTGAGTTATTCACAAATGGAGTAGACAGATATTTTAGCCTAATAGCTGATTTATGTTCATGTCTGAGCAGCTATCTATATGCTTGCTATTATTATTCACAATGTGGTGCTGATGTTGGGTAAATATGCACTAGTAAACAGTAGATGATGGTGAAGGGTTATGTAATGCAATGACAGGTTTGTTTGGTGCTGGATAAATATAGACAACTGGATCATTAATTTTTTGTAATTTCTTCAGATGTGTGAGTGTAGAGCAGAGATCTGGTTACAGTTCTTATGAGAGATTTTGGGGAGATACTTGTTTTTAGAGATTGAATTTGACATGGAATGAGTTGTCCTACATCAAATATTTTACCTTTTAGGACGCAGGAGTTCAGTTACATATTTCTGTGTGATTTCTGGGGAAACATGAGTTATTCAGGGAAAAAATGTAATGCTTTTCAGTTTGTTATTCTCAGAAACTGACAAAAAATAAACTGTATTGCATCAACAACAATGGTGGATTAATTATGTATTTCTTGTCTAATAAATGTTTGCTTTATTTAGAGTATTAGTTCCTCTGCTTTATAGATGTGTCTTGTGATTGATGAATCACTAATCAATCGGTTTCAATTAGACAGACAGTCATTATTAATTTATTACACACCTGAAAGTGTCTTGCAACAGGGTATCATGATAAACATCAACAGTTTTCATCTGGGCATGTGACCTCAATATATTTAGACCCAGATTTGTGTAAGTTTGAGAGTGGGTTTAATTGTTTCATATGATTGTAAGTTCATCCTCCTATGAGCTGGACCTGAAGTGTTTTACTGTGGAGCTCTTGTTTTTCAGAGGTTAGATTACATACATCAGGACTGATTGTGGTCTGAAATTAAATAAATATTTGTTGTGCTGATGATGGTAAGAACGCAACAGACAGACAGAAGTGTGTTCAGAGTCTTCTAATTTAAATGACAATACATATATATATATATATAATACTGAAAATGAAACAAAAAATACTTGAAAAAATACTAATCATGTCTTGAGTCATGTACACATCCTCTGTGGTGACTGAAGATAAAAGAAGTGAATATAGTGACTCATAATGACACATAGCCTATTAGGACATGGAATTTTCTAAGAAGTAGGAGTTACAGACCACAGGAAACTTCTTTTCTAGTTTAGTTTTAGAGAAGCTGCCTAAATATCCTTTCACATGTGTACAAAAAAAAGGAAAAAAAAGGATTAAGATGAACGGATTCTTTTTGGCTTCATTAATACAAACTTTAGCCTGTTATCTGCATTCTGTAAAGCTTGTTTTGTGATGCATTATTTTGCTTAATTTACTCTTTATCAGTTTTATATTTATTTGTTTTGGACTAATAATGGAACTTAAAAACCTTTCCTGTGTGATTATGTAAGGTAAGTTAGAGTTGACAAGTTTCGTTTCTGAAGAAAAAGGCCACACGGGTGTGGCAGTTTTCAGAGGGAAAGCCTTTAAAAACCATCAGAGGAATGATCTCAGTCTTCACAAGAACATCACACTTTCTTGACAACATAAATCTCACAAAATGGAAATCGCAGTAAATAGGCAATTCTTCACATTCGACATCAAACTCCTGGCAGACACGAATTAAGGTAATATAGTGAGAATCAAAATGTGTAATATAGTGAGAGACAATATTGTAATGTTTTGATTTTAATGCACCCAGCTGTCATCATTTTACAGAATTGTGGCAATTTGATAAAATATGAATATAAAAATTGCTAAAGTTAATTCAACAGCAGTTGGGAACAGAGTAGTTTCAGATGACAGTAAATACAATGTACTATTTTGTTCATGCTCTTGATTTTTTAAACTACTGTAGGTACACAAATGGCCAAAATGCTTACAGTTTGCAGATTATTTAGACATTATATATATTTACGGAATGCACCTTAACATTTTAGTCAGAACTAATAAACAAACAAAAATGGGTGTAATCTTTATAAATGATTAACTATTGTGTTTTCTGTACTGTATGACAGTGATGATGCCCCTCAAATAAAATACAGTACATACTTCATTATTTGATTGCTTGACTATCACCATTATTGCTGATACTATCACTATAAAAAGAATAGACTTCCACAGATCTGGAAGTCTGAGGGATTCATGGGTCTTGATGGAGATTCGTTTTCATGGTGGAGCCTGAAGATTAATGAAGCGGATATAAGAGCAGCTGAGGAGCGTTACCTCGAGAAATTGTTCCCAGACATAACCAAAGAACAAAAAACAGCTCATCCGCCGTTCCTGAGTAAATTCACCACATCACCCTTGTTCCTGAACGAATTCTCACGCTACGGTAACTTCCGCTTCACCTTTCCTCTGACTGAGCTGATGGAAGCCTACAAGAAGCAGAAGTGTGAGGGTCAAGAGCCAGTTCTCCGGATCTACGGGACCAAACTGTTCAAGCAGGAGAGTGAGTATGTTGTTCTCGTTCACAGCCCTCAGTTTAAAGAGCAGTTCAGTCAATTTTACTACAACAGCTCCTGAAAATGTTCTCCGTGACCAGAAAAACCATGCTTCAACTGATGCCTTCGATGCCTTCAATATTTAATGTCTTTCTCTCAAGAGTCAGGACAGGTAACATCACAAACATCAAATGGACACTGTGAAAAAACTGGAAAAAAAGAAAAAATTACA